TGGAACTCAAAGGAGTAAAACATGGATATAGATCCTTTCACTGGATCAACAGAATGTTAGAAGTGCCCTCAAATGCGTAGCTGAACAAATGTTTCTGTTGCCCCTAACAACAGTCAGAAATACTTAAAAAAAAAAAAAAAAAAGAAGCCAAATGCAAATGTTTCAACCAAAGCGTACCAAGGTATTTATGACGCGATGAACCAACTGTCTACTTTTTTGCTGTATTCTGGCATTATGCCTAGATTAATCTCTTTAAAATCTTGCTGCACTGCAGTGAATGCAAATTTTAGTGTGATGTCCACACAGAACAGTATATGCTTGTTGAAAGAATCCTGCTACCTTCTTCCACCTGTGCAGAGTGAAGCACTGATGGGGATCTCTGCAGAGTAGCTGTGGCAGCTGTGCTACATGCCTGCAAGGTCTGTGTTGCAATCTAAAACCGCAGAGGGGGTGGTGTCTTGTGTTTTTTAGGTTTTAAGATCGACATCTTGACATGTGCACCCCCCCCCCCCCCCCCCCATTGGGACACAGTTTGGTGTAAATTTGCGTGAGAAATCCCAACCCACTAACACATTTTCCTTTTTTTTTGTAATCACAATGCAAAAGCGGCCTTTTGATTCCTGCAACCTGACAAAAAGGAGGCACTTTGAATTCTCCATAAGTACATTATCTACCTGCTTCTTGGGTATGTATGGTTTGGCCTTAGCATTAAGGGTTATGGTCTGTCGTACACTTCCAGATCATTTTTAATGTGTCTTATAAGAAGATTTTGATTGCTGCCTGATTGGACCCCTAGCTCACCTGCAATGGCTTCTCCTTATTAGTCTTGTACATTAATGCAGCTCTGTATTGAAATGGCTCTGTTATTTGATATCTTCAAAGCACACTGAGTGAAGCTAAATAAACTAGTATAAAAGTGGTGCTTTCTTCATGAAACTTGAAACTTGCTCATTGTCTTGAGGAACAATCTACGTGTGTCATCATCGGATATGGTCAGGACATTATCTGCACCTTATCTGATCTCTCACTGAATTCAGGCATTGTGATCTTAGACTGAACGGCTTAGGAAAATATGACACAATGATCCAAGTTGGAAGCATTAGAAAGTTATGTATTTGATTAATCTTTATGGAGTCACAAAACAATCCCAGGAAGCACAGCTTTAATGGGTAACTTGTATTAGATGGACTCAGTATAAAAAGCAGTATTTATACTCAGTCCTCGGGGTCTTGCAGTGAAACCAGATGGCGGTCAGTACTTGATACAACTTCAACCATAGATCTTGTTCTGTGGCATCAATATTACACTCAGTTGTATAGCAGCATGTTGAAATGCAGGGCCTCCAGTTTCCCTCTTTGCTGGTTGGTCCTGCTGTCATTTTGCTTTTGAGAGATGACTTCCTCAATATAATCATTTATGCCTATGACTAGAAAAGCTTTACATCATATCTGTAATCCGTGCTACTTAAAGACCAAATGCAGCCAATCTGGTTTTCCTTCTTTGAAATCATGGCAGCAATTCAAATTAAAAAATAACTCAAGATGTAAATAATCATACTATTGAAAATAGGTGTATAAATTCTTGTCCTCATATTTATCTGATTGCCGCTATTGACAATATTTGTTTTTAAAATATTTCAATTCAAAGTACAATAAAGACTGGAAGCCTCAACGGGGTGGTTTTGTTTGGAGTAATTGCATGCAGAAATTGTATGTTGGACCCAGGGTGGCCTTCACGTCAGGAGTTTTGCAATAACTGCAATCATTGTTTATTTGTAGGTTATGCAACCTTAACTACACACCGTTCAAAATGACCGGGTGCAAAATAAAATATGGTCTGTGGTTAAGAAGGCGTAGGCCCTGAACTGCTCAGGTAGTGATCTTAATATCACCACGAAACCAGAATTCACTGGGCAACTTCTGGATGGATATTTTACCAACAAGTTTCTTAGTCTCCTTTATATAGAGCTTCCTTTAAATTTTAAAAATAGAACTTTAAATGTGGTCTGTACCATGACATTGTATTTAAAATATCAACAGTGCAACTTGAGATTCCAAATAAGAAACACAGTCTGAAAAGTACTGTGAAAAATGTTTTTATTCTCCTCTTCATACATCGAACCACAGCTGTGCTTTACATGCACCAAATGCAGCTAAACATGTTCAGCCTTTTACATTTCATCAGTCATCCCCCTCACAATGAGCTTGGTTTCAGAGGACGACTTCACACAGTAAAAGAACAGAAGACAGCCAATCAGGTACAGTTGAGCACAAGTGGTCTAAAAACACCATCTGATAAGATGAAAGAGGTGGGAGCTGCAGGATGGGATATTTCAGTGGACGGTGATCTAGCTGGCCTGGTCGAGGAGCTTCTTTATGTCTCCCTCGATGTTGCTGGTGAGGAACCTCCTGCTGTAGCGCTTGAATGGCGTGCCGTCAGGCCTGATGAGGAACTTCTCAAAGTTCCAGGCCACGTCATTCCTGCACACAGGACTCCAGATGATTAACTTGGGATCACTGATCAGGGCCGACGGATCGTCGCTAGGGCATGGGAGTGCTTCTCTTAGGAATTCAAACAGAGGATGTGCGTCCTTCCCATTCACGTCCACTTTTTCCAGGAGCTGAAACTTTGGTTCAAAGCCATTTCCAGGGCGGACATACTTCAGAGACAGCAGGATTTCGTCATTCTTGCAGTTCTCCTGCATGACATTAGGCTCATAAGAACACTGTACAAAAAGTGACATTCAAATGAAATGAAAGGTTATTTAATTACTAGAAAATAGTGTGTGGACGAAGTGAGAAGAGTAGATTCTTTCATGGCATATTAAAGATTTGAAAGAAATAGCAGATACAGTTCAATTCCTCTTCATTATTCTAAAGTCATACGTCAGAAGTTTTACCCCTCTGTCTCCAGTATGTGATGTATGTAAATCAAACGATGGTTCTTAGCTGCATTTATTATGGGACTGTCCTTTAATTGATCTGGTCAAGAACTCTTTCCGTCCTCTCTGGGGTCTATCAGAGGACTCTCTCCTGACAGGACTTTGCACTTAGCTGTTAGCAAAACGATTCTCAAAGACTGCTGGAAGGCACATACTCCACAGAGCTTCAGAAACGTGATGCATGAACTGGTTTGGGTTATTTACAAATTGCAAACAAATAATCTAAAATGTAAAAACTGAATGTGAAGAATCTTTTTTTTTTTCTTTTTTATTACATTTGGACTCATCTTGACAGCATTTGTATCTCAATGGTGCTTCTCATGTCTCTTATTTTTCATTTCCTCGTGTCTGCATCTCTGGTGGGAGGGACTAAGACACCGGTGAAGGAAGTAAGAGAAGGAAATGTGGATGTTATTTAGGAGACACAAGAGGTTTTGTCTCTGGATTGTTTTCTTTCATTTTGTATGATTGTTTATGGATATTTCCTTTTTGGACAGTTTGGATTCAACATGTGGATGATATATAATAATGTACTTTACACATAGATTCATTACTTTTCATCTGTAGTTGTACTCCTCCTCCCCGTTGTAAATGTGTGTGTGTGCGTGGGTTTGGGTTTTTGTTGTCATAAAAACATGTCATTAAAACTTATATAGAAAAAAATCTAACTTTAGTTTTGAATTGGCTGTTAGTCAGACTCCTGTTATCATCCATCAATGAGTTAGTCTACAAATAGTTGACTGTTTTCAGGAATGCTTGAGTTAATAAATAACCTTTAGAGGACAGAGTCAAAATGTAGAACTGGTAGAATTGCTTTGTCTGGCTACCCAGTAACCCTACACCAGTTTCCTCTTTCATGAATATTGCTCAATGAAACTGGTAACAGTTGAGTTACTAAAACAGAAATATGCTTCCTTAAAATACAAGTTTATTGTCACTCGTTCTACTTTTCCTGTTGAAAACGGTGTATTTAGTTTTATTACGAAAAGGTTAAAATAAGACTAAAGCTACACAAGTGAGGTGTTAGTACGTGTAAAAAAGGAACCGTTTAACATTTGAATACTTCAAATGAACCAAATAACTATAACACTTAATGAAGCTTTTTTCTCTTTTTTTAAATAAACACTATTGATAATGTAACCTTAGAAGCAAAATACACAAACATCATTCAAATAATCCAAATCCCAATAGAGGAAAACAGAGGAGACCTGGGAGATTCGTACCTGATGGCCGAACTGGTTGCAGGGCACTCCCAGGACCACAAGCCCCTTACTGCCGTAGCGGTCGTGGAGCTCGTTCATCTGGGTGTAATCCCTGGTGGTCGTACCTCAGAGAGATGCCACATTCTCAATAAGGACAACTTTTCCCTTCAGAGAAGAAAAATTAAACGTTTCTCCCGTTAAAAGTTTGGATGTGAGGTCGTAAAATTTCGCTTCCATCTTTATTCTGCCCAAGTTATTTTCCTCCTTCCTTATCTCTGTCAGACACTCACGACACTCACACTTCACTTTATCTTATCTTGGTTTCAGATAGTTCACACCCAGCACCCTGTGGGACGGACCAGTGGAGCGTCCCTCCCCTCTTAAGCCCTCCCACTATCACTGGAACTTCTACCCAAATTAACATATGTTATTATTTTTTTGGCTCTTTTGGACCCCCAATATTTTTCTTATTATCTAAAATAGTTTTTGGGGTTTTATCATAGGACCCCGACCTTGTAATCTTGCAAAAAAAGTTTCCCATGTAATCACCCTGTAGGCCTATCATGTTTACAAGTCTACTGAAGTTTACCCCGCCCAGCAACGCCGAAACGGTTTTACAAAAAGGTGCAGCCCAATGCTACAACATTATAGACAGTCCTAAAAAATGTGGTATTCTGTGTAATGTTGAACGTCGGGCCACTTGTAATAACAGAGTAATAATAGAGATTTCAGTGTAGATTCGAGAGAAAAGGTTATAAAGGAACAATATTCAAATTGCATAGTTGCTTTATTTGACTTTTCTCAGACGTGTTTGGTATTTTTCGTTGTTATTCAGTAACAGTCAATGCAGATGATCCCTAAGTCTGGGCGATGACGTCATACTACATTGGCGCGGAAGATTTGTTTTGTAACTTCTGTGTCTGAGCTCGAAATATCGTTTTCTGTGGGCTTATCTGTTAATTAAAGTATGTCTCGCTTTTATCATACTGACATATTTTGCTAGCTAACAACATCTCCCCTATATAACATTATGCACGTACTTCCGCTAATGAATGTCTGTACTCGTAGTTGTTAGCTATCGTTGCTGTAGCATATAGTTTTTTTTCTTTGCTAGGTCCTCAGGAGAGTGAAGAACTGCTAAGCTTGTTTGCTACTGTGGATCTAACCTTGTCTAGCTTTCTCACACCTGACCTTTTTTTATTTCATTAGATGATGCGTAAAAAGCGACGCCCCTCTGTGGATAAAGAAGATGTGGCTACTACATCAACTAGTAAGTTAGATTTAACGTAACATCAGAACTGTTCATTCCTATGTGCCAGTTCCAGTGATGTCCTTATGTTTACCAACTATGATATCCTAATGTCATTATTCAAATCCCCCTGTACATTGACCAAATCATCCACACAAAGGAAACACTTTTAGAGGTGTTTAACTAAAACTGACAGGAAGACTGTATGCGTCATACTCACTGACATGACAACACATACATGTCAAAAGTTTGGATCTGTCCCTCCCATCACTGATAAGCCTTAGACATGGACAGCTCTACTGGGTCATTTCCCCCCCAGCTTTTTTTTTTTTTTTTAATGTTCAAGGTTTGATTTCTTCTGGTCATAGAAGCAAAGAAGAGTCGCAGTACAGGTCGCCAGCCAAGGGAAGCTGCTTCAGAGGACACAAATCAAAGTGTTTTTTGCACGTTTCTTCGAGAGGCAGGTGTCACCCTAAAACAAGGTGGCACATCCAATGAGATCGGTAAACACACTCCAGTCCACGATTCAAAACATTTCTGGCCAGTAAATGAAATCAATTTCCCCACTTCTGTTTTCTTCCTCATCGTAATCTTTATTTTTTTTTTTCTCTAGATGTGGACCAAGTAGTCTTTCAAAAAAAGATACAACAAAAGTTACAAAAGAGTCCACGTTACCCTGGGGTAAGTAGATTACACCCTCCCTTTACAAATCAACACATTTAGGAGGAGATAGATGGGGTATGAAGAAGAGTGAAGCATGCTTGTGGTAGAGGACAACTTGTCAACGACTCTGCTGTTGGAGATTGACAATGGCTTCAGCAAACATTGCAACCTTAAGCGTGAGAGATTTAATTTTCATTGACAATTTAAACATCAGATTGTGCAGGAATTCACCACTGGATTGGAGTCTCATATCGAGGATCCTGAGTGCTTCAGGAACTGCCTCCTTCCATGTGTTCCAAAATTGCAAGATGGACACTCAAGGTAACCAGCAAATAAACATTAGAGGCCAATTCAGGCCGCTCACAGCTACGACTTAGACAATGGTTTGTACGGCTCTATGTGGAGTGATGTGTTTTTTCCTGTGTTGCAGTGGTGTTAGCTCATTCCAAGAAAGTCTTCTGCGTATGCTGTTGGGGATTGAGATGCTGCAGGTATCTGCTCAGATTCTTCTAAAGACAGCTGGGTGGGGGCGCTGGTGGCGCAGTGGTTAGTGCACACCCCATGTATGGAGGCTGTCGTCTCAAGCGGGTGGCCCGGGTTCACATCCCGCCTGTGGCTTCTTTCCCGCATGTCATTCCCCACTCTCTCTCTCCCTGATTTCCGACTCTATCCACTGTTCTATCTCTCCATTAAAGGCACAAAAAGCCCCCAAAAAATAAATCTTTAAAGACAGCTGGATGTCACACAATAAAAAACAAACAATAAACTGTTCCTGTTTTTGGGCATGCCCATCACGTGCTGCTGTTCATCCTCCACACACTTCTCTTTTTATTACAGACGTTCATCGTTAACATTTTGCTTGAGAAACTTCCTGAATTTATGCTTGATGGGTCAGTAGTTCTTATACAGTACTTTAAATCATTGTTACTATTTGTTCCCCATTGATTTATTCTAAGTACCATCTTGTTCTCTTCACAGCACTGGAGACGGGGGGCTCAGTATTCCTCGCATTATTATAAACCAGCTCAAATGGTTGGACAGAGTCATGGACAGCAAGGTAGTCATTCCTTAAATGATAGGTCTTGTTGCTCGTGCAGTAGACATTTCATTTAATGCTGATCTCCTCCCACAGACCTATAATCATTTTGTTTTAGCCATTGCATATTTCTAAATGGCAATAACAATCTCTAACTTTGGCCCTTTTTTCTGTCCCATGATTGCAGGAGTTGGCTGCGAAGCTCATGGAGCTGGTCTCAGTAGCACCTGTGGAGGTTCAGTGTGACATCATCACCAGCCTGCCAGAAATCCTGGAAGACTCCCAGCACAATGATACAGCCAGAGAGCTCAAGTATGTGCTGTAAAATCTCTGCAACAGATCTGTAGTTTAGTTTTGAGAGGTTTGATAAGCCCGTCTTTGTTTTGTGTAGCGCTTTACTCCAGGAGAACACTCAGTTAACAGTCCCCATCCTGGATGCCCTATCAAGTCTGAACCTCAGCTCCTCATTACTGACTGAGGTAGTACACACACTCTTTCAGACTTTTTCATTTATTTATACTTTTTGCAAAGGCTTAGTTCACTTCCCGTTCCTGTCTTCTGTCTCAGGTCCGTGGAGCTGTTATGGCCACTTTGGCTGCCGTGCAGCTCGATGACCTCCCTGTGGTGGTCAAGTTCGTCCTCCACTCTGTCTCAGACTCTGATGCATGTGAGGTCAGAGTCAAATCCAAAGCATTAGTAATGTCCTGGTTGTTAAAGTACATGACACTGTTAAAGTGTTGGGTGTCTTTTCCCACGTGTAGGTGGTGAGTAATCTTCGTAAAAAGCTGGAGTTGGAGCAGTGTATTCTCCCTCCTGTGCTGCAGACCTCCCAGAGCCGCACGAAGAGCAAAGGATCAAGAGCGTAAGCCAACACAGTTTCGAATACACTAACAACTATTCCTGCTGTGCATGTACATGTTGTCCTTCAAGTATTACAGTATGCTCTTCTGATATATCTGGAGCAGGTCTGCCTCCACACCAGCAGCTGGCAGCAGTCAGGACAGTGTAGCATTGATTCTAGACGGGATCAAGTCAGCTGTTCGATTCCAGAAATCAATATCTGAGGCCTGGCTCAAGGTGGGACATCACTTCTTATGCCCCCCTGATTTAACTCCTGAATACTTTTCTTTTGTAATGGCAATCATTCTTCTGAATTCCAAAGTTGCTTACTGATTTTTCCACTGAATTTCTTGCTTAGGCAATGGAATCGGTGGATGATGTGGAGGACCATAAAGTAAGTGTCATCTCATTAGGTCAAGGTGTTGTTCCCATGTAGATTGGTAATCATCAGTGAAGGGGTGGATCCCTCTTTGCACATACAGTAGGCTACTGCACAAGGAAAAAACAGTTTTCTATCTGAAAAGTAAAAAAAGCACCACAATATTCTCTCCTGATGCACACAGATAAATAATCATAATTCTATGTTTGTAGAAACACTCAGCTATCATAACCTCATGTTGTCCCATACAGACTATTCTTACACTATCATTTTTCACACTGTTACATCACTTTGTTTTTTGTAGTGTTTGTGTGAGGATGTGAATCAATCTGCCAATCCTTCACATGTGCCCTTCTATGTCAGGTCATTGATCTTCTGGTGCTTTTCATCCTGCACTCCACCAACGCAACCAGAGTCGGCGGGGGCGGAGAGGTTGCTGAAGGTGAAAATGAGGACTGGGCTGATCTCAGAGGCTCTGCTCCAAAAGACCTTCAGGGACTACGCTCAGGTGGTTCAGAAAGCTTATTTGAAAAGAAAGCAGCACAGTGCTCTTTGTTTTGACGAATTGATAAATTGTGATTATAATATTTCATTTTTTACAATTTGACTCTAGGTCATGCGAGGGTATTTCCCCTCAATCCTGGCTCTGGCTCAGGGTCTGCTGCGCTCCCCTGACCCCTGCGTTGTGCCTTTTGGAGGACACATGTACAGACACTCATTCACTGTTTTTGATTCTTACAGCCAGCAGGTGGGTTTTTTAAAATGCCTTTAAAATGGTTTTCTTTAATCTATAAATGGAGCTAAATCAAATTAATTCACCCCTATGCTGTGTTTTTAGGAGTTGGTGGGCTCCTTAGTGACCCATGTGTGCAGTGGTGTAGGTGGGGAGGTGGACATGGCTCTGGAGCTGCTCTCTGTTCTGGTAACAGAAAAGCCCACAGAAATGGCTCTGTATGCAGTTTTTGTCAAGGTAAGGAGACGGTCACACACATTTGTTAATTTGCCAACAGCTTGAAGCCAGCAGAAGATTAAGTGTCTTACTCTTGTATCAGTTTTATTTTTAACTCTACAAATAATTCGACACAGGGAATCTTGGACTACATGGACAACTTCACGCCCCAGCAGATCCGCAGACTCTTCCACATCCTGAGCAGACTGGCGTTTGGGCAACTGCAGCAGGGATCTCACATCCAGGTTGATGATCATTTAACCCTTTAGTTCTACTTTCTTCTTGTCATTCTCACATCAACTGACCCCAACTCTTTTGTTTTATTCCACCCCCCCCTCCCCCTTTTCAGGACGACATGCACATAGTGATTCGCAAACAGCTGTCCAGCACTGTGCCAAAGTATAAACGTATCGGCATCATTGGTGCCCTTATGGTTGTAGGCAGCATGGGGGCCGGCAGGTACGAGCTGTCACTCACAGCCATCAGCTGTATTTTTTATTTGTTCATTTTGCGTCTCTCTCTACATCTCGCACATAACCTCTGCTCCGTAATCCAGGCTGAAAGTGAAGGAGTCACAGAATGCCTCCATGACCCAAGAGACTTTCAGACAGGTACACATTTCCTTTGTTTATGATTAATGTGTCTGTTACGATGCAGCTTATTTAAAAAATAAGTTCAATATTGTTTTACCTGTGGATTTCAATTAGGGTTCAATAGTGAGCTATAGCTGCAATCTGTTGCATTAAGACAACAGTATCAACGTGTTAAATACTTCACTCTATACATGGGGCGGGACCTTACCACTAGGCCATCTGGTGCCCTGTGAATGGTTGTTCTAATAAACCTCTGCAGTGACCTACCTGTGAAAGAGGTCACACAAAAAAAAACTATAATGATAATGTATTCTACTGCAAGGAACTACAACAGACACATCCATATTATTGCTCTGGTGCGTACAGTTAACTTCTCCATTCTCTATTTCACCTGCTAACAGAACACAGAGTCCCTGTGACCGCAGGTTTGTGGTCGCTGAGATATGTTCCTGTGTTTTTTAATTGCTTGTTGCAGGCATGGACAGGATATACAAATGGACAGCATGCCTTGGCCTCCTCTCGTTGAACAGGATGAAGCCAGAATACCCCCGAGACGGGCATTGAAATATCGCGAATTTGCAACTAGAGTCTGTACAGTAGGAATTGGCTGAAAGAGCAGTGGTATTGACATCACACAGCATCTGCTAATTTAACTTATCGGTCCCTCATATGGGTACAGTCCACAACTTAACAGATTGAAGCAGACACTCACGTTATGGAAGTTCAATGACTCGTGTGTTTGTGTCTTTTTCTGCGGTTCTCTGCCAATCTGGTGCACACAGCGCTGCTTGACACAAAAAAAAACCTAAATGAAATGATATATCTGACATTTATAGTTTGACCCATGTCCCTTCTGTTAACATAGAGGAGGCAGGGTTTTTGACCTATACTGCAGCAAGTCAGCAGGGGGGGTGCTCTAAATATTTTGGCTTCACTCCCAGGAAGCTGTTTCTCCGTCAGTCTTAATATAAATATATAAATATATATATATATATATATATATATGGTCTATGGGTGCAGGTGACCGCCTTGTTGGAGCTGGTGAAGTCGAGCAGTGAGAGCACAGCTGAATCTGCAGCGCTGTACTATGATGAACTGGCCAACCTGATCCTGAGCTCCACCCTGGACCCACAGGTCCAGGTGAGTCTTGGACAAATATGTACCTCATCTCACGTCTCAATAGATTGTCTTGTTTCTCAGTTTTAAACGTTTTAAATAAATATTAAATGCATACAGCTTTGTAGAATGACATTTGATTCAGCAATGCATTTCTGTTTTTTCACCTTACAACAGGACACAATCTCAATGAGTGTCCTTGATGACTTCCAGAATGACTTTGTGGTGGATCTTGGCCCAGATATACCCGGGTTAGTGATGGAAAGTTACCCACGTACAATCCTGGCTTTGTTGTACATTTATTCCTGTAACTAGTTTGTATAAAACTCTCCTTCCCTTGTTTCTCAGTTCTTATCTCTTCCCGGCCCGTGTGATGTACAACCTGGATGAAGATGAGAGTCAGGGAGGCATCGTCATCAACCTGCTGCCTCTGCTGGCCAAAGACCTCCAGAACAAAGGAGAGCAGCAGAGTCAAACCAAGAAGGCTCACAGGTCAGCCCCCCCTACAACAACATATTCAGGCTATGATACATTTCACCTGCATGGTGATGTTCCTAATAGTAACTGCATGTGATTATTGATGTGCTTGTTTTTTCTTGTCTTGTATTGTGTGGTGTCAGGAGAGTGTCTCCGCTGTGTCTGTCTCCATTTTTCCGCCTCCTGAGACTCTGTGAGGAAAAACAGCACCAGGGGGACCTGGAGGAGATCGACGCCCTACTGGGTGAGGGAGTGGAAGCTACACATTTCTCTAAAAAACCACTTTCTTCTCGTTTTAATGCCTGTGAATGAATCCATCTCTTTTTGTTTAAATGTGCTGGGACACAGGCTGCCCTCTGATCCTGACAGACATGGATGTAGTGGAAAAAATGGAGAGCCTGACAAAGCCAGAGAGGGAGTTTCTCTGTACTCTGCTCTTTCACACCATCAACTGGTTCAGAGAGGTAACTGCAATTGGTTTGACTGATCTGTACTCTGACTGTACTTTGTGCACAAAGATTGATCTTACCTCTGTCTGGTGATAGGTCATCAATGCATTCTGCAGACTCAAAGAACTAGAGATGAAGATGAAAGTGATGACTCGTCTTCAGAACATCACCTACCTTCAGACACTGTTGGAGAGAGCGCTGTCAGGTGATCCATCTCTATTAAAGATCTCTTCATTATTAACACAACATGGTGTCAGGCCTACTTCATTTTTCAACACGTTTTTCTTAAACATGTATTTCAGGGACACTGGGCTATGTTCCACCTGTTGCCAACTTTGATGGAGAAAGCACTGATGGGATTATTCCAATTTCTGCTGCTCCTGCAATCAAGACAAAGAAAGGTAACCATTCCTCACAGCAGATATTTTACTCCACATTCATTTAACCAGAAACTCTGTTAGAAACCAGTTCAAAATCATAATTGCCATAATTACATTATTTATTTAGAGGGCACAGGAAAGAAGAGGAAAGCTCCTGGTAGGATTTCCTCAGAGAGCAGCTCTCAGCTGGATGAGACGACGGACACAGATAAAACTATGCAGGTAGACCACTGCCTTTCCTTTTCATCTCTTTTAATCTCTTTCAACTTAGATTATATAAAACTATATGTTTTTCAATTATATGTCTGGAAAAGTTCAGTAATTAATTTGTACCTCCTCAAATGAGGCTGACCTTTGGACATCAGCACAAACTGTATCATGGTTAAAACATTGTGTTGAAACTTGTGGTTTACATTCCTTCTAAAGGAGCAACCAGAGAAGGAGAAAGAAAAGGAGATCTGGCAAGGAGTCAGTCTGGGGTCCTACAGACACTTCTTCAGGGAGTTGGACATGGAGGTGCTGAGTGTGCTGCAGTGTGGCTTGCTCTCCCGCTCACTGCTAGACTCTGAGCTCCACTCAGAGGTAAGACGTGGAATAATACTTTTAAAAGTTGTGGCCTGTCATACAGTGGGTTAGGGTTTAGTGTTAGCTCACTTATTATCTTAATATCCAAACCTGCAAAGAAGAATGGGAACTATATGGATTGTTGTGAAATTAGTGTCATTTATGTTTACTCCATTTGAAACTTCTCCCGTGATTGAGATGCGAAAGGAGGTTATGCTGGGTCCTGCTGAGCTGGTGTTCCTGCTCGATGATATGCTACGAAAAGTGGAGTTCAGTCTTACAGCTGCACCTGCCAAGAGAGCACCGTTTTTCAAGGTACGGAAAATAACTCAGAGAGGCAACAACAATGTTTGATACTCTCTGCTTTAAGAACTATCCTTTTACAATAAACAGTTGTTACAGTTTGTTATATTATTTACAAAGACCCAACATGAATCCACAATGAGCACAGCACTTGGCAACATTTAGCAATCGTTAGTAACAGTCGTAAGGAAAAATTTCCTTTTAATAGACAGAACCCGACTCGTGTTGATCTGCTGGTACTGTGATGGGAAGTGGGATAGAAGGAGATGCTTGGATTGTTAATGATGTTTAGTTAGAAGTATATCAAACTGTACTATACAAGCCTTTATCAGACAAAGAGTAATGATATTTTGTTCTTTCTTTACCAAAGGGAAGGACTGATAAGAGTTTGGGCTTCTCCCATCTACAACAGCAGAGCTCCAAGGATATCGCCTCCTGCTGCATCCAGCTGCTGCCCACCCTCTGCTCACATCTGGAGAACTGCCACAACCATTTCCAGGTACAATTCAAGAATCAGAAGAATGTTCTTCATCGCTTTCTTCCAACTGTATATAAAAAGTGCTTGCTGTGTCCCCCCCCCCCCCCCCCCCCAGACAATTCTGTCTGAGAACAATGGCGTTGTGGACAGACCTGCCACAGATGTTCAGGAGCACCAGCTGATGTCCTCAGCCTACCAGCTGCTTCTGCAGGTCTTACACACCACCTTCAACTGGTGAGGAGGACAAGAACTGCAGACTGTCATGTCAGACATGAAATCTTTTCAATTTCTAAAACATCCAAGCAGTATTGAATCATATCAATATCAGCATGTCATTTGATCCTGTTGGCTATAAATGTTTCTATGCATCAGGTCAGGATTCAGCCAGCCAGGACAGCGGAACTTACTGAAGAAGGCCCTTGGAGTTTTGGCTGGACGACTTAAAGAGGGAGGTGCTGAGCTGATCTTGGAGCAGCTTATAAAGTGAGTGATAAAAATAATGATTTCTAGACTTCTAAAGATTATGTTTGGCACGTTTGCCTTAATCAATTAGGGCAAATTGAAGACAGACAGGGAGTTGATAATATGCAGCAAATGTGTGACTTTGGTGGTCTGCTTATGTAAAAGAAATAAAAGGAAATACAGAATAATTTCTGCTCATAATGCTAGAAAACAGAGAATGACAAAGTCTGGTATCTAATAATAAAACTGTGGAACCAGTAAAGAACATGTCTCATTCACCTTGTTTACTCCTGATACCAGAACTTTCTAATCACGTGAATAACAAGGTTTTCATTGTGCTAAAAGATCGAATGTGTCTTTCTGCGTGTTGTCTTTTTGTTTAGACACAGCTTTGAGTACCTGGTGAACTTCAGGAGCACAATGCCGAGTCTCACCACCGCTCTGTGTCTCTCCCAGCTTCTGTCCACTGTGTCGGAGAAAGGAGGGAACCCTGCTGCCAACAGAGAGCAGACCGGTCAGTCTGACATGATATTTCATTCCAACAATTCTTGTATCAGATATTGTTATTAAGAAGTTTCTTGGTATAACCTAATCCCTGCTAAAATAAGCCTTTTGTAACCCCTTCTCTGTAAAGATGTAGTTTCTTATCAAACTGTGGTAATAATATGTTTATATATATATATATATGTATCTTGTTCTTAGCTTCCCTAGCTAAACGTTTCCTCAGCCAAGAGTGGGTGACAGCCAGTGGAGAGAAGGAACGAGGGATTAAATTTAATGAAGCACTTCACACTCTCCTGAGGTGCGTCTCACAGTCATCGACGACGTCTTACAAGAAACAAAAACAAGTGAAGGAAACAAACAGCATGTTTGTATTAGAAGCCATATGATGCTTCAACAATGAATGTTACACACTTATATGGATAGGGTTTATTTGATGACTCATGTTGTAGATTATGCATACGGTATGTTTATGGTCATTTAGGAATCATTTTGGCTGCTAAATATCAGAAACATATCATTCTTCTTATCAGCATTAACTTTGGGCTTTTTCTATTACTGAATCTGTATTCATCTGTAAGACCTTCATTATAACTAAAAGTAAAAACACCACATTCAATCATTTATTACATTTGTGTTCTCCATCCTCATACCCAACAAGATGTTTTGTGCATTTATACCTCTTATATAACTTCTCTTATATAAGTGCATTCTTGATAACCACATAATATGTTTGATCACCCCCCCCCCTCTCTCTCTCTCTCTATCTCTCTCTCTCTGCAGAATCTACTTGGAGCATGTGGATGATGTTTTGAAAGCAGTGGAGGAGATCGCTGGAGAAGGAATAACTGAGCTCATAAACGCAGCAAAAGATGAGAGCTCTGCAACATGGCCCACTCTCAGCAGGTAGATCTTCTGCACCATCTGTCCTCTGTGTTTCAGTTTATAAGAGCACAAAGAAAGGGTCATGTGAGTTAGCAAGTGTACAGATGTAGCTTAAATTGCTGTCAGATGATGTTGTAATTCCAGTTGTTTATTGACTTCTCTTTTTCTTTTCAGGCAGACATTCTTGGTCTTCTATAAAGTGTTGATGGCAGAACTAGAAAAAGCTGCGAGGAAGATTCCTCCTTGCAAAATCAGTGACAATACTGAGGTGAGCCACCAGGTGTCACACTATGCAACGTGTTCTCTCTGTTTAAGTACTGTACCTTATAAACACAACTCCTCATCTGCTTAAATGTACAAAATAAACTGTTAATATACATCTTTATCGTTTCCATTTTTTTAAAAAGCTATACGATGTACAATGAATACTAAATGTTTGTTCCCAGTCTTTTTCAAGTAATACACATAAATGAGACAATTCTCCTCATGTTTGTGCGCGTGTGTATACACATGTATGTGTGTTTACACATGTATGTGTGTTTACTTTTCATACATGTAGCCCATGTCTTCCCTCCAGGCTCAGAGTGAGAAGCTGCTGACCTGGAACCTGGCTGTAAGAGATTTCCACATCCTGGTCAACCTAGTTAAGGTGAGTTTGCCTGATACAATGTCTCTGGATTCCTTTTGTACTCATTTATCCTGATATATTCATTTGTTTGAGATTTTTGCATCTTTAAAAAGACACGTAGTGACACGTAATGATTTAATCCTAACAGGTATATGTCCTTTGATCTTGTCTTGTAGGTGTTTGATTCTCGGCCGGTGATCAACGTGTGCCTGAAGGTGAGACGCTGAAAAAGACTAAACATTCAGATGAAGCTGCTGCTGGTTTGAATTAACTGATGACTATATCCTTATCTTTAGTACGGCCGTCTTTTCCTGGAGTCTTTCCTAAAGTTGGGGATGCCACTTCTGGACAACAGTTTCAAAAGGCAAAAGGTACAAATGAAACGCTGTGACATCACACTGTACATCTATGGAAATGAAGCTGCATGTTAGTGTGGAACTGTGTCTAAGTAGAGTTTTTAGAAACAAGACATTGGCTTAAGTCATTGACATGGTTGATGTTCTAACTTTAGTAAACATCTTACATTCTGTTTGTGTGAATGTAAGATGTAAATTCCGTTTTCTTTTCTTTTGTTATTTAGACATAAAGATTCAAATACACAGGAACATGTCGTCAGAAAATAAAAGGCACAAAAAAATATGAAGGCAGGGAAGATTTCTGAAAAGTCAAAGTTCCTCTTTTAACAAGTGAAATAATAACTTCACAATCAGAATCGGGGTTTATTGCCAAGTACATTTACACAGACAAGGCATTTGACTTGGTGTATTGGTGCTAAACAATTAACAAGGCAATAGAGCAGAACTAGCAACAACAAATGGTGCTGCTTCCGCTGCTTCAGTAGTGGTGTATGAATGGGATGAGTTACTTCTGATGGATGATACTACATAGCGATCATCACTACCATGAGTGTGTGAAAGGTGTGAATGGGTGGGTGTGACATGTGGTGTAAAAGCGCTTTGAGTAGTTGGAAGACTAGAAAAGCGTAAAGAAGATACATTTTTAAAGTCCTTAAGTTAAACTTGAGTCTTATTCAAGCCGCGATATTTATGCCCCTGTGAGGTTTTGCCTTCAATCTGAATGTCACAAGGGCGTAATGGGGGAGACCAAGTGCCCCCCCCCCACTGTCCTCCGAGGTAGTAACAGGCGTGACAGGGGCGAGACGGTTTAAGATGAGCCAGCGGGTGCAGCGCTGTGTGTGTGTGTGTGCATGTCTGACTGTGTGTCTATGTGGAGCTCCCCCGTAACACAATGTGACTTCACAGACTGGGACACCGATATTATGCTGTCACAAAATCAATATTAATGTACAAAGACGTGACAAATCAATCTGAAAAGAGCTTTAGTTTGTTAAGCACTTTTTATAGACACATTGAATTCAAAGTGCTTTCCACCAATAATCTGATTCCTTTATCTATATGTATGTGCAGGTTTTCTACTCATTCTTTATCATTAAAACATGGTGTTGCATATGAAAATGATTATGTTATTGTGTTAAAAATTATGTGCTGCCAGTGTTGTGACTATGTATTGATGTATTGTCTTATTAAGGAGGATGTTCAGAGCCTGCTGAAGACCTTCCAGCTCAGCACCCGACAGCTCCATCACCTGTGTGGACACTCAAAGGTAGCTGCGGGTCAAATTTTAAAGTATAGTCTTTTCTATTTTTTTATTGGCTTTAAACATCCCCATCATGAAATCCATTCTTTTCCTGTTAAGTGTTAACGTGCCTCTGTTACCTCTCAATAGACCTGTATGACTTGGTAACATTGTCACAATGTCTGGGCTCTCAGATTCTCCAGGACACAAGCCTGACCAATCACGTTCCAGCCTTAAAGAAGAGCCTGGAACTTTTTGTTTACAGAGTTAAGGCCATGCTGACGCTGAACAACTGTCAGGAGGCGTTTTGGATCGGCAACCTGAAGAACCGAAACCTGAAGGTAAAACATTACAAGTAGAAGTAGAACAGGACAAGTAGAAGATGTCTCTCTTCACATTTGTGCCATTAACTTGGGAAAAACAATTGTACACTGCAGGGTGAAGAGATTCTTTCTCAGATGTCACAGGGGAGTGATGAAGAGGAAGACGAGGTGCAACATTCACCGCCGCCTCAGGAGCAGTCAGAGGACGAGGTACCTGCCTTTTTATAGGAAGCTCTGAGTGCGTTACATTCCCATCTGCTTAAGATATTAAGACATTTAATGTATTTAATTTTGATCTATGACAAGGGTTCTTTTTTTTGAATATGCGTACAGGGATGATATCTATCAGTAGTGACATGACCAAGAAATAGTGAATCAAACTGTCTGAAAATATTCTAAATAAACTAAGAGATCACAAGGTTCAGGTTTAATGTTATTGATGAGAAACAAATCTATATTTATTGTGATGTATGGTGTGTTTAAAAGCCCTGTGTAGAGTTTTCAATAATATCAGTGAGTGTACCATGTAATCAAAGCTAAAAACAAAAGAAGGAATTAAAGAACTGAAATAATTCAACTTCAGGGCTGCTGTGGCTCAGTGGAAGAGTCGTTCCACTCTCAACCTTAAAGTCGGCGGTTCGATTTCCAGCTATTGCAGTAACATGTATGTGTGTCCTTAGGCTAGACACTTAACTCCAAGTTGCTCCCGCTGCGTCATTCGCTCTGTATGAATGGGAATTAGTCAACAATGTGAATGGGTTAAGTGTGAAAACACTTTGAGTCAGAAGACTAGAAAAGCTCTACAAGCTCAAGTCCATTTTCTATTTTTATAATAATATTTTCCATAGAAGTGAAAAAATAAATGGTGGAATGGGGAACATTAACATGAAGGTAAGTGTCTAGTTTCTGAGAAGACTGGCAGCATTGGGGACTTAATTACAGGTTTCTTTCTTTAAGGATAAACAGCACAAGATAGTGACGATGACAGTTATGTAATCAAGCCAAACATTTGACATGACTGCTTGGTGGGCCATTACTTTGTGAGTTTAAACCACACAGGTCAGTTAACAGGCAGTTGACATTGTGCAAGGCAGTGGGCTGATAAGATAACTGGAGCTGTTCAACACGCTAACGATAAGTGGCTGAAGCAGTTAATAAGAAATCTGTTTGTTTCCTGATATTTCTAAGTCGCTACATGATCAACCCTTTCTGTTCTGCTGCTTTATGCAAAAAGATGTAGAGTTTTTGTTTTGCAAGTTTGCCAAACGTTTTTCCTGTGATTTCTATCAGGCCCAGGAGACCGACTCTGAGGAAAGTCGGACGGTCAACAGACAGGAAGATGTGGATCAAGATGATCCTACAGACGACTCTGACTAATAGAAACATGAACTATTAAGGTTTTTAAACTCCTCTCTGTCACATCCCTGTTTGTGGATCACCTTTTGTTTCTGTATAAAAACAAAGTTCTGTTTGTTCTGTTTGTTTGTGTTGAAATAAAAAAAAAGATATTTGGAGATGCTTTTTCCAGTTTTTTGGGCTATTTTTTATGTTTATTATTCTTTCAAACTTACTTTGAGGGATAAATGCAAAACCATTTATCAGCTTTTATACTGACAAAATAAATGTAATAATTAGATTTCTAATAAACAATATTGTATCCCATCTTTTATGTGTGATCAATGTATGATTACTTAAAAATATATGTTTTTTGTGGATTATTTCATTATCAATTTCACGATGACAAAAAAATAAATTCTAAATAATGAATGCAAAGTTTTTACTTTTAGGCATGCTAACACCTTGACTTTTACAGGTATAGTTATAAAACCCTCTGTTTATGGCTCATACTGTTAGTAATGTTTCATACTTTGCTTCATTTGTTTTCCTGGGTGAATTTCCACGGTTTGATGAACTTTACATGAGGAAGCACTTTGCTATGCTCGTTGAAGAAATTACCTGTGATGTTAGGTTTAACAATCCTTAAACGCCGCACTACATGTGAACGACAGCACGGATATCAGTCACAAACAATGATTTCAATGTAAAGACATCAAATCTACGTTTTCTAATGACAGAGCTGTACCACCTCAAGTCACACCCCTCCGGGTTGAACCATGATAATGAGAATAGGGGGTGCCATTGCCATACATATGTATGCTAAAGTCACTACCTTGGGGTTAGATTTGATCAAGATAAAAAAAAAACAATTTAATATATATATTATAAGTATATTTAATGTATGAGAAATATATGCAACGTAGTTTAAAAAAACAAATATATATATATGTATGTAATCCCCCCTTCCCTCTGTTGGACAATGTTCTAATCAGGAAGCATGTTCTACTGTTTGGGATTTACCACAAACAAACAGTTTTTTACTTCCAACTTGAGCTAGCGTTTCCTCTTTTGTGTACGGTTTAACTATCGTGAAAACTACATTTGACTCAGGTTTTGGTAAAGCCATTGTTTCTCTGCTCTTGTTTCAATCTGTTAGACCACATTCTCGGTCTATGTGACCCGGAGGAGGACGGGTTAGGCTTCACAGTTTTTTTTGTCAACTGCATTGTCTGCAGCTGTAACGTTACCGCTTTGAGAAACCATGTCCGATCTAATCCTGGTGCTCCTGGTAGTCGTGCTACTCGTGTGTTTGGTTGGAACATTGGTGGGGTTTCTAGTGTACTCGGGGCTCCTGTCCGACGTGATTATAAAGACTGGGCCACCTCCTATCAAAAATGTTACCTTTGCTTATAAATTCAAAGAGGGATCATACAAGGACTGCGGTGCAGCCTACACAGAGACCTGCAGCATCGGGCCAAAGCTGAGCACCATCAGTGTCTTCTACGATGACCCCAAGCAGGTGAGAACCTAGGACCCAGCAACTGCCAACCTAACTACAATACACTGCACTTCAGTTACACATGACCTGATGACATAACCACTAAACCCAAAGTACGTTACTTTCTGATGTTACAGTCAGTCACACACCAGGGTTCAAAATATGTACATTCAACTTCAAGTTAAACACACCATCACAACATCTCACAATCCTCTGTGATATCTTAAAGTTTCAAAATATATGCCATATAGTGTGTCTAATGGTGTGATAAATCAGACCATTACACTGTGTAGAGGCTGAAACCAGGATATGTTTGCAGCTTTACATAAAGCCATATGCGTGCTGCTGGTTTATTTCCTGTCTGTCATAAGCGCTAAATTTTTTAAGGTTGTCTAGTTGCAGTGAGTTTCTAATGTTATTGTTAAATCTACTTATAAGTCATCTTTAAGGGCCATGGGTATTTCACATGAACGTATTCTGTACAAAATTCTGAGAAATAATTGGACTTAATTCAGTGTGTAAGACTAAAGGGGTTGGTGTACAAGTGTCCTTTTGTAGGAACTGAGCCTGAATGATGAAACCAGTGAGCTGTTCAATGCCACGTTGCACTGTTGATATTTTTTCCCCTCTCATGTGCTCTTGTCTGCCACTGACTCCAAGACGGTGGCCTAAAAGGGCAAACATAGCTTCTTCACATGTCTGTGCAGAGAGCGGATGGATATGTTTCATTGTCCCCTCCTTTGTCTAGTCTAAATATTTATGAAATAACAGTCACAATGCAGAAAGGCAGTCAATCTGCCATTTGCCATTTGGATGGTGAACTGTATAAATAGTTCATTGCTCAGCTGGGATCTGTGGTTGTCCCACTCTTTTATGTCCCATCCCGCGGCTCATCACGAGTTGTGTTTTCAGTCAACAAGAAATGTCTGCACAACAGCTGCTTGTTGTTAGACGGTAATGTTTACTGTGTGCCCAGCTGATCCATGCTGCCCAGCTGCCCAGCTGAGCCATGTATTGCTTTTTCCAAGACCTAACTACAAAATAGTTTATGTTTGTGTTTGTTTACCTTTTACTGAATCAGTACTGTTAACAAAGGAGTCTCAAGCATTCTGCACATCAGCCAAAGATCACAGTAACCCCGGTCAGAAAAGTTGATAATGGGCAAAGTCTCTGGTGTAGGACAACTAGGTTAGCTTTATGTTATCTTGTCTCTGACTCTTATAATAAGCTAAATTTTCCCAGCTGCTGAGCTAAATCACAATTGAATGATCCACTATGGAATAAAGAATATGGCACACTGGCACTCCTGAGTGTTTATCTTTCTGCTTACCCCTGCCAGTTTCTCTGTGGCGCAGTGTCTTCTTCTAACTAAAGGCTTTTTAATGGAAACCCAAAGTGGGAGCCTGCGGAAAGTTTTTGGAAAGATGCTCATGGAGGAGCTTTCAAGACTTTTCTGCTGCTGTCAGAGTTTGTGGAGAGTCTGGATCATAGGGAGCAGTTGGATGGAGCTATAAACCCTGAGTTTCTTTGGAAAGAAGAATTAGAATACACAGAAAAACAGCAGCTTGTGACTATATTATCATTAACTTTACCAGGAAGCCTAGTAACAGTGAACAATCTGTTGTGAGCCCTGTAAGACTTATAGTTAAAATAATAAATGTAAATAAGGGTGAAGGTAACTTTTAATCATTTCTAATTAAATTATTGGATCGTCATTTATTAATGAGGCTGATAAACGCTAATGAAAGCTGTTTTCATTTGTTTGGTGTCTAGAGAATTAGAGATACCCTTATTACTTCACAATGGCTCTGATTGCTCACCTTAACCCTAACAATAAAAATCAACTAAAATGTGACAGATGTCATATGAGATGAAATAGCTCCTTTTCTTTTTTTTGTTAGATTTATTTTGGGGCTTTTTGGGGCCTTTATTGTATTGACAGTACAGTGCAGAGTTGGAAATGAGGGACAGAGAGAGTGGGGAATAACATGCGGGAAAGGAGACACCGGCCAGATTTGAACCCGGGCCACACTCTTCGAGGGCACACCTATCTTTTATGTGACTTAACCTGTGTTGTAGTTTTGCATTCATACACAAGTATGAATGTGGGCACACTGTTGGGGCTAAAGGGGGCAGCGCTCCTCGCTCCTTTACAAAAGTTCCCGTGGACTTTGTAGTTTGCTGTGTTTGGAGTTGACCTCAATACTGAATGTGGCCTCTGCATCTATAAACAGCTTATAAATCTTCTCACTGTGCCATTAATGCTTTAAGTCTTTCAGTCTTACAAACCTGGTTCTAAACCAGTTGAATTACACGTTTGGTGTGTAGAAAAAAATGTAATTGTTCTTGTCAGGAATTTACTTGAAAAAACTAGAAACTAGAAAAAATCAGATTGTATTAATTGGATCTATTTGTTGTTGTGTAAATCCACAGTTATTCACAGCCATCCTTTAATATGTTATTTCACATGCAAGGTGGAGACTCTACATGTATAAATGAAATAAAAGTGTCTCTGTATTGTACAGTGCACTGATGAAGTCAAGGCCAGAAACACTTTTTTAAGTTTTTAACATGCAGATGGCTATCCATTTTATTTAGGGTGCAGGAAATAATAACCTTCTGACATTTCGCCATGAAGTCAATGAGAATAGTTTTTGAGCTCCATGCTAGTTGGTAGCATTTCAGCATTTAAAATAATATCTTCAGTTTCTTTACACTGAATATTAAAGGCCTGCCCTTGTGCTCACTGTACCTTGTGGCCACTAGATGGCAGTGCTATCATTGATTTGGGTTTCAGGCGGTAGTGGGGCACATCCTCGAACCACACTCATCTTTATACTTAATTTATCATTTCATTTTTTTCATATCATTGCAGTCTGAATCATCCTCTTAGCACAAATTTTCTCAAAATGACTTTTTATCATGTTAAGATAAAATAGTATTTAATCTTGGTACTGTAACTGTGACACTAGTGGTACAGCTCTGTCATTTGCATACACCTGCAGTTAACTTTGAATAAAGTCACTACACCTGCTGTATGTTTGCTCAATTTTACAGACTGTAAGATTTCACTGGTCTGGATTTCTTAAGGCATTGGCTGACATCCTCACCTTAAGTCAATAGAGGCAACACCAATTAGCAGCAAAGCAACTTCCTTTACTTGATGCCCACGTCTTGTATCCATTCCAGCAGTCTGAGTTTGCATGTATGCTTGTTATTGCACTAATGTATCAACACAAACGCCTGAGGGATCTTAAGAGTTCAGCCTGGCTCTCATTCGACTGGAGAGTGACCCGTAGCAGCGGCGGTTACTCTTAAAACTCAGTAAACAATTCAAGGCAGGGTCGCCTCAGGCTGAGCTGTAAATGGAGCTTTGACCCAAGTATTGAGCAAATCCTAGACTATAGATAAAGTACAGATGTAATCACTGAGTTCTCGGTTTGCAGCCTTTTGTTGTGTTGCTGAGTTAAAAATCTACTGGCAGGCTGCCTGTCTTCGTGCGTGCGTGCGTGCGTGCGTGTGTGCGTGCGTGCGTGTGTGTGTGTGAGTTGGGGGGGTGTTATTTAGAAGAAAAAAAAAATCCACAGAATAAGGAACTCAGAGATAAATTGCCTATAGAATGGATGAACCTATATTAAATGAATTGAATGTATTTCTATGAAATAGGGACGATGCAGT